CTAGCTGGGGTGGTCGGGGCAGTAAGGAACAACCCATGAATGGAGCCAGGAGCTCGGTCTGTGGCCCTGTCTCTCTCTGTGGATGTGTCCTGCCAGCCCAATGGGGCCTGGTCAGAACAGGGGCTCTCAGGCGCTCCCACCCTCCCTCCCTCCCTTCCATGGGGCTGTGCCCAGGCAAGCTCTGCTGAGAGTGTAGGACGGCTGCAGGGGCATTGGGGGGGGGTGTCCTCCTACCATCCTGCTTCTTCTGGAGAAACTGTGCTGGGTCGCCATGGCCATCCAGATGACCAGGACCAGAAGGACACAGGTGTCCAGCACCCAGGGGCTGTCCCAGCAGGCCCAGAACCAGCTCTGCGTGATCCCCATCCTCGTGCTGGGGAGGACGGTCTGGACACTGGGCTCCCTGCTGGTGCTGCCACTGGATCTCTCCCGAGAGGCTGTTTGTTCCAGTGACGCATCATGAAGGGCCAGGACCAGGCGGGTCCCGATTTTTACCCCCTTTGGTGGGCACAGATTATTGCTCAATAATAATACCAATTCCTTTTACAAATTTCCTTGGTAATAGCAGGAAAAACAGGAGAATTACCTTTCGGCTGTTCTTAGTTTGGTTTATAGCCAGGCTAGTGAATTACCCCACTCACTGGTCAGTTATGAAATTTACGAGGTGGCGTGCCTCGGTTTCCCCTCTTGTACAACAGACCAGGTTTGCAATAGTTTGTGCTGTACGAAGCTTTACGTTTATTTTCAGGTAATAGCTGAGAGACAGCTTCAGATTTGTGCTCCGTGCCCCCCCACACCCGCGTTAGGGTGAACCTGTCCCCCTTCTTTTCAGGCTTGACTTGTTCTTTCACCTCCCTCTTCTGCAGGGCCAGAATCGGAGTCTTCTCGTAGCGTGTTTGCTGACCACAGGGGCGGCTCTAGCACCAGCAAAGCAAACACCTGCTTGGGGCAGCCCATTTGCAGGGGCGGCAGCCGGGGGAGCCAGCCTGGGAGCTGAGAACCAACAGGGGCCCTGGGAGCTGTAGTTCCTTGGTTCGCTCCCTGCCTATAGAGCCAGCCCTGGAACCGGGAAAGAACTACATTTCCCAGCATTCCCTTGGGCACTACCAACAGGAAAGAGGGGGAGGGAGGGAGGAAGCTAGGACCTCACGCTGCAGCTTGCTGTGAATGGAGAGCTGCACTGTGGGAAGGGCCCCACCCTGCCCCCATCCCCTCCCTCCGACTGCCCCCCACAGAAACCCCAACCC